GCCCAAAGCAAATCAAATTGTAAAAAATTCCCCAAAGCATACAGTAGGCTAAAGGTGCAGCCCAGTGGTCCAAGGTTTGCTTTCCATGCCTTAGGCCCCCCAGCACTGCAGAAGAGGAGCCATTGAAATGCCTCAGCAGGTTAAAAAAAAAAGAGCCTGCCTTGAAGCCTGACAAGTGGAGTTAGGTCCCCAGGATCCACATGGCAGAAGAGAAAAGAGACTGTCTGACTTCCACCCATGTGCCATGTCACATGCATGCCCACACAGATACACAGATGCACACACAGGAAAAATGTAATAAGCTTTCTATAAAGAAAAGAAGGAAGGATGGGAGGGAGAGAGAGGGGGAGAGAAAGGATAGCCAAGCACATGGTGAAAAGGAAGGACCCTCGCTGTTACTCTTGTTCTCGGCTTCTGGTTCTCTATCTTTCTGCAGCTAGCTAAGCACTGATACACGTATATTTTTGTGTGAAATATGATCATCTGGTACAGCAGTCTGGAGGATCTACCCTGGATACAGGCTGTGAGCTTCTAATGGCTGTGTCATAATTTATTTAACTGGGCCCCCAGTGATGGACATTTAAACACTTGTTCATCTTGCAACTACGAACCAGGCAACAATAAATATCCTTGTACAAACAAACCGTGCTCTTGCTCATGTAGGATAAATTTCCACTAATACAATTGCTGGGCCAGTGTGTGCTGATTTGAAATGTTAATACATCGCACTGAAGTATCTTTCAAACAAATACAACCAATTGACAACAGTGACAGCCCTAAAAGGACTCATCCTGCCTTCCTCCTGTCCTTTCTTGGCTGGTACCGCCTCACATTTGGTATCTGGGAGCACCAGCTCTCCTTCCCAGCTTTGTGCAGCAGACGCTTTGCTCCCGGCATTTGCCTCCATTTTTCCCAGGACATCACTGCCCTGTCTTGAGCCAATCTCCCACTCTAGACTACAAGTTCTTTGAGAAAAGAAGTAAGCTTCATTCATCGCTTGCAGGCCCTGGTTGAACACACCACACAGGCAGACAGCTCAAAGACCTGTTGAAACTGAGCATGATGATGCTTTCTTGTAATCCCAGCTCTCAGGAGGCTGAGGCAGGAGGACTGTAGTGAGTTTGGGTTTAGCTTTGGCCACAGAGTGAGAACCTGTTTCAAATCTCTGGAGGGGAAACACCAGCAACACCAGACTCTGTGTTGTGTTCTACCTTGTCTGCTGAACGGGAGCAGAGGCCAATTCAGCAGGCCTTGCTGGGCTCCCCTGCTTGTTGAAGATTGGCTGCCTGTGTCAGTGCCTCGGGCTCTGCTCTTTTGTGAGCAGATGCTATATCTCCTTGTCCTCAGCTCTTCAGAAGAGTGACCAGGTCTTGTTCCTCCTTTTCCTGTCACCACAAGCAAGGTGTCCTCTTGTCCCTTACTCCCAAGCTGGGTTTGGAGTATGCAGATGGTAGATCTCAGCAAGACTGGCAACACAGCACCTGAGACCAGAAAACCTGAAGCAGATCTAGCAGATGTCTAGCCCAGGCTCTTCCACAGACCTCCAGATGCTCACTGGCTCCTAGCTGCTCTGAGTATAGGACTGCTGGGGTTAAGACATCCCTGCTGCCCCTCCCCCCAGCATTCTTCTGCTTTGGCTGCAGAATTTCACTGATTTCTGGGGCCGGCCGGCCTTGCCACTCTCCTGGAATTAACAGAAGGGACCAGGAAAATCACTATAGAAGGCTTGGGGCAGTGGGGTCCAAAGAACCTCTTGTGATGGTGAAGTGTGGAGACAGGAAAAGGGAACAGGGTGGGTGGTACATGCGGAGCTCACAGAGTGCCATTCAGCAGCTGCAAATGTTATGGCACTTGGAAAGGTGGCTCACGAGCCCCACACCCAGCTTATTTCATGCAAGGATTGTCCAAGGTTAGGGCATGTTGGACAAGTGCTGTGCTATCTGCATGTGAGGCTGAGGCTCAAACCCAGGCCAGAGGAGGGCCTGCTGAAGCCGGGGCTAGCATGAGGCCGAGTATGGTCTTGAGAGTCTGATTGGGTGGAGTCACATGGCTCCTACTGGGCCCTTGCTGTGCACACTCTTGCACACACACTCCCCCTCCCACACCCATACTTGCACACCGCTTACCTTGGGAGAGGATTCTAGTTACCCTTTCAGCAAATGTTGCTGAATACTTCTGTTGAGTGCCACATGCCAGGGGCTATTGAAAAGATTCAAACAGGTCTTCACCTCAACAGCTTACACAGCTGAAGTGTGTGAGAGCTTGTGCTCTGAGTTTGAGCCCCTGGAACCCATCTGACATGGAAAGACCCAACACCACAACATTGTCCTCCGATCTCCATGTGTTTGGCACACATGCACCCCCAACACACATATCATACAACAATACAACTAAGGGGGCTCGGCACATTTTTTCCCAGAGGTTGGTACATGAGGCTTCTTAAAGGATGAGGAGGATTGGGACAGGTATAAGGGCATTTCAAGACACACAGGTGCAAGGGGTTTGCAGAGAGCGCCAAAACTGAGCAGTGCCTCTGAAGAAAGAATGGGCTTTATGACTGTCCAATCTTGTTGTCAGCTAGGAATACCACCTCTGGAATGTAGTGTGCTCTCAGGCAAGACATAGTCGTTTGTGCTGCAAGCTAGTGACCAAAATCTGGGGCTATTTATCCCATAGCCAGAGGCCATGACGTGTAGTAGGTGGGACCTTCAATGAACACACCAAATAACCTCTCAAAAATGACTGTTTTGCCAGGCACGGTGGTGTGTACCTGGAATCCCAGTGCTTGGGGCTGGGGCAGAGGCAGGAGGTTCATCACAAGTTTGAGACTCAGTTGGGCTAGTGAGTTCCAGGCCAGTCAGGGTTACAAAATGAGAACATGTCTCAAATATTGTCTTTTGCCATCTAGAGGCCCATGAGGCCTATTGTTCTAGAACTATAATTCCAGGTGCCAGTAATGAACCTACTGTAACTGACAAGGAACACAGCCATACAAGTGGGCATTGGATGTCAATACGTGTGCCATTTGGGGCTTTCTATTACAAATAACAGAAAGCAACTTGACATCAAAAGGTTGTATTGGAGGGAGGGGCTGCTTGGAGGAGTCATCAGGGAGGCTGAGGAATCTAAAATGGAGGAACAGGAAGACAGGCAGACACAGACGCTGCCTGTCGGTAAGGGCTGCCCCACATCACTGTGGCCCCAAGCTGTCACTGCTGCTTGTGCCATTACCATCACTGCAAATGCTTCTGGACTCTGGGTCCTCCCACATCCCCCTCCAGACTTCAAGGTTTGAGGAACAGGGGTGCGATGGCTTTGGCTGAGGCCCTCCCCTGTCAGGCCGAAGCTGCTCAAGAGTCCCAGAGGCACAGGTCTTCTGAGTCACCACCCAGACTGCAGTACGTTTCTCCAGCCATTAGGGGCCCTCCAGGAGCGCTGGCCAGTATCCCCTGTTCCTGAACTGACTCATTCATTCTGCCTAAATGGGAAGTGTGGGGAATGGGAATGCCAGGGGAATGGGAAGATGATCAGTACTCAAGGGTGCTCCTAAATTTCTTTTGTGTGGTACCACTCGGGACACGAAAAAGGTGCATGGCAGACCACCAGAACCCACCCGAAGAGTCCTATATTGGCTAAGGCCCAGAAAGAACACAGAAATGCTGATTGGGAAGGAGACTGCGCAGTTGCAACGACAAGGGCTGTGGTTTCTGTATGTGCTTCTGCGTGTCAAGTGGGAGAGAGCCTTTGTGTGACTCTCCAATTTGATTTTTTCTTTGTGCTGGCTGCCAGCTGGGATGAAAATACTAGGATACTGTAAGAAAGGGGGTGCGTTCTATCAAGTGAAAACTCAATAGCCCCTTCCTTTACACCCCCCACCCCAACTCTCCATCCTTCCATAGGGGTGATCTTGTGCCATAAGTTGGATATGTGGTCATTGAGTTTTCAGACATTTTTCATGTCTAGTTTGGATCTAAATTTTATTAGGTTTATTACTTTTACTTTGTGTAATTTGTCTGAATGTATACGTGTGCACCACGTGTGCTTGGTTCCTAAGATCCTAAGAGGGCACTGGATCCTCTGGAACTGGAGTTATAGATGATTTTGAACTACCATGTAAGTACTATGAATGAAACCTGGGCCCTCAACAAGAGCAGCAAGTGCTCTTAGCCTCTGAACCATCTCACTGGCCTCCTAGTTTGGCTTTCAAAGGTTTTACATTAAGCCTCTATATACTGTTCTATGCCATGTTTTTCCTTCTTCCTTACTAACATTATGTCTTGGACATCATTCCCTATCAGCACTTGGTAAAACTTACAACTGATGCATATCTTTAATTCCATACTACCCAACTCTCAAAATTGGGTACAGCTGACTTGCTAGCTACTCGCAAACTGCTCTGAAAAGCTGCTAGTTCACATGTAGATCAATTGCTTATGTCATCTCATTCTTCTTTGGAGCTGAAATTAGATATGACCAGGAAGACAAACTCTTGCTTTCTAAAAGAGCAGCATCTGTTTCTCTGGTGTATTCATTGACCCATCACTGAATCCCAGTGAGGCTGAAGACTAACAATGTCCAGGCTTTCTGAATGATAAGTCTCCTCCCAAAAACTGTTGGTAGAAATAGAACATTACTGGAATCACTCAAGACAGCAATTTGGCAATATCCACTTAGTGAAGATGTGAAAAAGTCCGGTTATAAAATGATAGCACACATTCCACCAATTATGTCCATTTTAAGGACAAACCCAGTTGCTTGTGGATACACACACACACACACACACACACACACACACACACACTTGTGGTAAGCACTAACCTCTAGAGGAATGAAGATACCGAGGAAGTCAGCTGTGCCTGAGTTTTATGGATCTGGAGCAAGGCAGCAAACTGAGCTGGTTTGTTTGCCTTGTGTAGGTGACCACCCTTCTGTTCCGCAGAATAGTGCTGCCACATTCCTACTTGTGTCACCGAGTTAAGATGTGTAAGCACAGTCAGACCTTTATTTTTTATTATTTTATTTTATTTTATTTTTCACCCATTCTGACAGTTTCTATTTTCTCAAAGGTGATTTGAACTTGCTCACCCGTACACTTTCGATTCATTTTGTACCACTGTTTCTCTGTGGGTTTTTTCCCCCCACTTTTTCTCTTTAGTCAATCTTTTCTGTACAGCAAGCAATTATACACCTTATTCCTATTAAAGACATTTTTTGGTGTTCTGATGAGCATTTCTAGTGAAAACTAGGTTTTCTAGAGGTGAGAACACTGAAACACAATACTTTTGTTGCAAATGCAAGGGATCAATTTAGAGTTACCTGGTAGCACGATTTCAGACAAAATCCAAATGATGCCATTGCTCTGTGTCAAAGCAAAAGAAGAATTTTAATAAGCTTTTACACCACTGCAAATACAGGAACATTAACCCATGACATGCAACAAAAGTAATTTTGTCTTTCTGACATATTTAACAGATAACCCTGACGTCAACAGGTAAGAGAGACACAGTCTACAGAACAAGTATGATTTGTTTCAACTTTCAGGTTAGAAAATGTATATTCTTACTGCAATCTCAAGTAGCATTTAGAAAGTTTACTTTCCCTTTTCTACCTTCTAAACAAGAGGATGATTTTTAAATGTAATTGTACACAATCATTTTCACATGGAAATAATCACAAGGAATCAACAACTTTAGTCTAATTGACTGACTGATTTCATTGCCACTGGTAAATTTTGAACAAGGGCTCCTGTAGTATTGTGGGTTTTAGACAGGGAACATACCAGGCTGATTGTTATGAGCCTTGGCTTTTAGAGCGGGGGAGGGAACATGCAGCGGCACACTGGGCAGGTGCCAGACTTCTGAAGCCAGATGGACACGCATGGCTTGTGGAAAAAGTGGTGGCATGGCAGCTCAGTTGCCACCTCCCCCTTCACATACTCGCTACAGCAGATAGGACAGCACATTTCCTGGCCCACTGCACCATGATCTTCGGTGACCAAGATCTCGGGAAGCGCATCAATGCTCTCCTTGCTTGCAGGTGGGTTAGCCACTTCGACATCAACAGCAAGAGACTCCAAGTGTGCAAGGGCCGTCTCCATTGCCTGGGCCAGACGCTCTTCGAGAGCCATGTAGGTGAGGAACTGAGGATCCACGTAGGAAATGGCTTCTGCTACTCCCAAGCCATCTGCAAATCCATCAAATAGGCTCCAGTCCACTTCGAGGTCTTCACTGACGCTGGAGTCATCTTCCAGGTTGTTGTTTCCATCTAGCATGAACATCCCAGGCTGGATCAGCTCATGGGTAGACTCGTTATCACCCTCGCTGCTGCTTTCATTCTCATTGTAGCGGAGCCAAGGGATTTCTCCTTCTTCCAGAGAGGCCTGCTCTTCTTCCTGAAGAGATGGATCCTGTACTTCTTCAGGATAGCCACTGCCATTGCTGCCAGCACTGGCGAGGCTCCCAGCTCCAGCTTGCTGAGGTTCCTGTTCTTCCTTCCCTGGCAGAGGCTCCCAGCTTTCTCCACTGGAGGACTGTGGTTGATCCCGGCTTCGGTACTTCCTGCGCAGAGCAGCTATCCACTCTTTGTCGCTGTCAGAATCTTCCTCGTAGTAGCGGTAGTAATCATCAGTGTATGCCCAGTAGTCACGGTCTGCAATGGTTCGCCGCCGTCTTGGCCCTTTATCTGCCCTCGCTTGCTCATTCCTGGCATCCTGGCCTTCAGCATACCTTGGCTCAGATGAGCTGCTGGCAGCCTCACCTCGGCCTCTTCTGGCTAGGCCCTCGGCATGAGCTCCCTCCGCATCGGCAGCATCCCTCCACCTGGAAGTACTGTGCGGTACATCATCATCATCATCAGTATCAAAAAATACTTTTGGTTTCATGCAGTTTGGAGTCGCCACATTCCGGACTTTGGGTCTCACCACCGGTTCCTCGGCACTCTTTGGGGTGTTTTCCCCACCACCACAAATACTCACAGGAGCCCTGCCAGGACGAGCTGGTAAATTCTGCCTCTCCCTCTCCAAGCTGTTGTTACCTTTTGCAGCTGCCCTGCCTTCAGCAGAAGCAATCTGAGAGGCCGAGGAGCCATTCTGCTTAGAGAGCTCAGCTCTGCGAGCAGAGCACCTCGCAGCAGGGGGTGATTCTACCTTGCCACGCTCCTCTTTCACATCGCGGTTACCACTAGAAAAGCGGGAAGACCTTGCCCCCTTCTCGGGATCATCCTTAAACTTGCCAGTTTTCCCTCTCACTGGCAGTCGATCAACAGGCCCAGCCCCCTCCTCCTCACTATCACGCGCCACTAAAGTGTCAATGTGTCCATAAGCCAATCCTCTTCGGCTCCCCGAGGCCCTGTACTCTCTTGGAGGATACCTGGAATAATCCTCATTCTCAACAGCCAGGCTGGCTCCCGAGCCCTCGTTGTCATCCCAGCGACGACGTGTGCTGGCAAATGGTGACCGGCTCCTCTTGCTCTGATTGGCAGTTGATCTGTGCATTGGGACTTCGGATGTTGTCCTTCTCTGGCTGGCAATCCTTTCCTGCTGGCTCATGGATGGCCTGAAACTGACATAAGCATGCCTCCTTCCATAACTCCTGCCTGTACCTGACTGATACCCTCCTGCTGGATTGGGCCGAACAGACTTGCTAGATCCCTGGCCCATGGCTCTGACTCAGAGTTTCCAACAGAGCTGGGCTGCAGGTGTAAAGGCTCTTGCTCCCAGTTCAGAACTACAGAACAAGGAGATCTATTTTTCCTTCAGGAGGCAGGTAACAGACTGATAGGGGCCCTTTAAAATTAGTTTCACTGTCTTCTAAGGCCTGAGGTAGCATTCCAGTGACTGGTGTGGACCTGGAACACATGTTTAATGTTTGCAAAATGATTATAAGACTGGGTTCGCAAGAAAACCAGAGTGTGGAGAATAAGACAGAAAGTGTATGTAGGGGGGTGGGGGTGAGGCACTAGGTGACTGAATACTTAGAAGGCAGGTTTACTATGGAATTATGGGAAGAGTAAACCTTGTTGTGGGGGGCTGGTCATTTTCTGAGAATTTCATATATTGGGGAATAATACAATTTAGAACAGAATTGAAAATATAGTTCACTGTGTATGCGTGAGTGCCAGTGTCTGTCAGGAAAGAGACAGGTGAATAGGGGGCCAGCAATCCTGCAATGCAGAGATTTCTGTAGGGGAGGGTATATGTGCATGTAAAAGTCACAGGAATGGGCGGGGTGGCTTTAGAGAGGAAGGCTGTAAGAAAGAGAAGGGTCACTGTTCCCATTAAGTGTGGCAGCTGGAACTATAGAGGGAAGCCTGCATTTATGTGCGTTATCACGGTCAAGGAAGTGCGAGGGTATCCGTAAGGAGATGAGGAAGGTGTCTAAGAGCCAATACAGACGGGAGCCAACAATAGACAGAAGAAAGCACACAGGATGTATGTGACGTTGGAACACAGAGGCCAGCAACCAAAGAATGTTGGTATGTGTTAATATAGCTAGCAGGAAAAGGGGTACTGTCCCCAGAGGATTTCTGTGTGAAGGTGCAGTAAGGAAGAGAAAGGGACATTTGAGAAGAGTGCGTAGCAGCTTCCTGTGTGTACACATATACATGGCAAGCAATAAAAAGATGAGGTCTTTATATGTGCGTATGTAGCTAGCAGACACAGACAAGGGAGGCCATTTCTGAGACAGGGAGGGAGGGGGAGAAAAGGAGAAAGAGAGACAGGGAGGGGGAGAGAGAGGAAAGAGGAGAGAGGAGAGAGGAGGGAGACGGAGGAGAGAGGAGGGAGACGGAAGAGAGAGAGAGGGAGGGAGGGAGAGAGGAAGGGAGATGGGAGAGGAGAGAGAGGGGGAGACAGGGAGGGGGAGAGAGGGAGGAGGAGGAGACAGGGAGGGGGAGGAAGGGAGGGGGAGAGAGGAAGGGGGAGAGAGGGAGGAGTCGTTCAAAGGAGTGGGTCAGAGCAGGAGGATGGGGGGAGATTCTAGAGGTATGCGAGTCAGAGCAGGAGGAGGGGTAGAGGTATGCGGGTCAGAGCAGGAGGAGAGGGAAGATTCTAGAGGTAAGAGGTAGGTTGGGGGGAGAGAAGGAACTAGAAGGTGTGTGAGAGGGTGTGTGCTTGCCTGTTGGCACATGCGCAGAGGAGGAGCTCACTGGAACCTTGAGGATGCAGGGACAGGGACCAGACTGCAAAGGAGGTTTCTGTGTGTGCGCGTGCCCGTGTAAATGCGTATGCGCACGCGCGTGCGTGCGACACAGAGGAGGGGGTGCAATGTCATAATAAGAGACAGGAATACGTTATCAGCTCAAAGGGCAAACGCAAATCAATGTGGCAGGGCAAAAGAAAGAAAAGGGCATGTAGGAACCCTGGTTTACCCTTAGAATATTGTTTATCTTTTAATAATTCTTTCCCTGGGCACGTATCTGTACCTAAAGATCTTGGTCATGTGTCATTCGACAAAACAGCAGTAAAATGAGAGGAAGAAAGGCCATACAGTGCTCTCTGCAAAGAGGCCAAGAGCACTGCAAGGAGAGACAGGTAGGAGTGGCAGAGGGCCGCGACCATCAGTTTTCTCTCAAATAGCCATGAAGGCCATTCAGCCTGGGGCCCACGCGGCAGGGGCTGGGCAGCCAGGGATGCGGTCCCCAAAGAGGCCATAGGCCTCGGCGTGTGGTCAAGTCCCCTCCGCCCCACCCCGCTCCCGAGACAAACCCGCAAAGGGGTCATTGGGATTCTACCTCGTGCCCACCCAGCAGCACTCGCCCACCAGCCCGGGCTACTGCCACAGGCCGCCTCATACTCACCTTCCTGGCCAGTCGCGCGCTCGGAGCTGCAGAGCTGTCGGACCTCAGGACGCCACCACCACTGCTGCTGCTCCGGGTCTCGGCTCCTCCCCCGCTAAAGAGCACTAGGGCAGGCGGGGACTGCGGCGGCGGAAGTGGTTGTGACGTCAGCTCGCGTCCGCCCCCTTGATGTGGCGGGGGCGGCTGCTGCCCTCTGTGAATTGGGGTGGGCTCAAAAGCGTCATTTCGTTCGAAACGCTGAGATTTTTCAGGGGAACAAAAAAAAAGGCAGCGAAAACTATAACCACATTAACAAATGTTAAACATTTGCCACCTTCCCTTCCGTTTTTTTTTTAATAAAATGAAATCCGAAGATTCTGATTAATTCTAACATGAGAGTTAATTATCTTACTATATCACATCCTATGTTACATGCTATGGTTTGTCTGGTGATATAAAATCTGAAGCAGTATTCAGGGTTGCAGTAGTAACGTCACATTTTAAAAACCTGGTGTTTGAGACAAACAGAAGATGTTTACAGTGAAATCTGGTGCTTGCTCTTCCTCACAAAACCAGACTTGTCTATGCAAGAGATGATCGTTCATTACATGCAGCACAGGTTCACATGTGAATTGCACCACATTTTTAAAATGTCACACATCAGGTCGTGATGGCGCAGGCCTTTAATCTCAGCACTAGGGAGGCAGAGGTAGAATAACGTCTTGAATTCGAGGCCAGCCTGGTTTAAAGAGCAAGTTCCAGGACAGCTAGGGCTACACAGAAAAACCCTGTCTTGAAAAATCAATCAATCAAACAAAGAATCAATCAAACAAACAAAAAAAAAACAAAAAAGGTCACAGATAAGCTTTTCTTGAACTCCTTAAATTGCCTTGATACTTAGAACACTCAATGTAGAGTTCCTGCCTTCTCAGCAGTAGCAAAGATTTGCTCTTACAGGAAATACAGCGTGTAGTAGAACAAAAATGCTCAAGGGTGACAATACAAATAGTATGGGTGATTTTTCTACAAGAATACTGTGGGAACATAAGGGGGAAATTATCGAACAAGGGCAAGAAACAAGGAGAGGGTGGGCAAGAACAAAGGGTATGGAAACAAACCAAACAGGAGCCAATCCACAAGTGGCAGTGTGTGCTATGGACTAGTATCTATAGAAAACCAAATTCAGCCTACACGCCGGCTCTTGTCTTTGATCCCAGCCTTGCAGAGGCAGAGGCAGGAGGACTTCTGGGGTTTGTTGTTGTTGTTGATTTGTATTTTGTATTGTTTTGTTTGTTTTTGTGGCCAGTTTGGTCTACATGGAAACTTCCTGGATAGCCAGGGTTACAAAGAGGGAGACTCTGTCTTAAGAAAAAAAAAAAAAGAACATTTCTTTTTTTCCTTTTTTGGAGTGGAGGGGGTGGAGTAGCGTGTCGGGAAGGTTTGCTGGAGTTATAGTCAGACAAATTCTCAGTATGAAGCTCAGGCTCACCCTGAACTTTCTTGGTTGCTGAAGCTTACACATTAAAATTAGCAATACTAATCAAATAAATAAGTCAAAGTAAAAAGTGTTGAAGAGAAGACAATAGTCATTTCAGTAACCAAAAGAGGTAGGATAATCATTAAATGTATGTGTCAAACAATGGCATTTCAAAACCTATGAAGCCATCAGCAAGTGGACTCTTGTAGTAGGAGTCTTAACCCACACTTTTTGTACTATGGACACTATGGACATATCAAATGGACTTCTAAATAAGTAAAGACACAGGGAGACTGAATGACACAGTTCAAAAGCTGGATCTAACATATATGCATTTTTCTACTCAAGAGGGTTCAGTTTTGTATAAAGATACTCATTTCGAACAGGGAAACATACAGTATAAAATACCTACTGGAATTCATCTGTCACACAGAGCAACTGTTGCTTTCGTTCGGGCTTCAGAGCCTCTGCTTCTGAAACAAGAGAATGAATTACAGCTTAAGCTTTGACTCTTTCACCTTAATGTATTCCCTTAAATAAGTAGCATTTGGAAGCTTGTATTTTCCTGTGCACATTATACATTACTGTTCATTTTGTTTTAAACTAGGGATACCACATGTTAAAATTTCATGAAATATTATCTTTGGAAATTTGGCAGTATTGATGCACACAGTTCTGAGTTATATATTTTAAACTATTGAATGCTATTGTGTTAAATATCTAACATGGTATGACTAGAATATTCTATGGTAAGGAATTCCAATGCACAAATTATGCAATTTATGTATCTCTTTCCTTACTAATGGATTTGGATCATTTCTGTCTAGTGAGATTATGAGAATTCAATGAACATCTTAGTATATGGCTTCTTATGTCCTTCTCCAGGGTACTTTTCAACTTGACCTATGGTGTTTTGAAAGTTTACTCTTCTTGGCCCTCCTGGAAGATGAGTCTGATTTCCTCCAGTGGGATACCCTTGGGGAAAACTGCTTCTGCCTCTAATAGATGCCTGTTTATTCTGGTAAGCTGGTCCCAGTGTCAACATTTTTAACCTATGCTCTGATGGGGAAAGGGATTGGAAAAATTGCTCTGCTCTGTGTACACACATTTAAGTGGGATTTCTTGGGGAAAAAATAGAAATGTAGTAGTTATCTGGGTATGATGGTGCAGGCCTTTAATCCCAGCACTCAGGAGACAGGCACCTAGGTCTTTATGAGCTCCAATGTAGCCAGGGCTACATAGAGATCCTGTCTCAAAACAAAGAATCCAAAACAAACAAAAATGTAGCAGTAATTTACTGATGGATAACAAATTGTCCCAAACACATAGCGCTTAAAACAACAAACATTTATTATGGCAGTGTTTGTGAACAGAGAATCCAGACATGGTTTAGTCATGGTGCATTAGGCTTGAGTAGATGAAGATGTACTCAAACACACTCATCTGTGGTTGTGGTCTCATTTGAAGGTTCAGCTGTGGTGGGGGTTCCACATGACAACATGTATGTTGTCAGGCTTCAGAAAGTCTATGTCCATGCTAACCTGTATTGACTGGCACATTGTTACTCTTGTCATATGGATCTGTTCACAGACTTCTTGGTCTCATCACAACGTGGCAGCTGGTGTGGTGGTGGTGGTAGTGTGTGTGTGTGTGTGTGTGTGTGTGTGTGTGTGTGTGTG